ACTAGGCCACAGTCTGCACTATCCCATGCGCAACATTTCACCTGTGATGACGAAAGTGACAATGATAAAGACCTTTCCATATTGTGATAAAAAATTCACTTTCTTTATGAAAAACTGTAAGCACTATGGAGCCAGCCGAAAAAAACGACGAAGAAACATGAAACTGGACAGATTTCAAAAAGAAAACTAAACAATTTAATCTAAAAGCTCGGAAAACATTGTTTTAACGAACATTATTACTTTTGTTGCATCTGAATATTGAAAAAGTTTGAAAAGTTCAGATAGCGTAGAACAATATGTTCCATTCTTAACCATGATCCTATAATCTGAATCATGATTTCAGGGTTCTGATAAATTATTATTTCTTTTTTGCAATGCTGAAATTGAATCTTTTGTTTATTGTATTTTGTTCTGCTAACTCATTATTCAACTTGTGCGTCACTTACCTAATAATTGTGTTCTAGAACACAATTAATAAATTTAAAGAGTCAAAATCAATAGTACACAACCAAAGCTCAACGTATCTTAGCAGATTGGTTTTCAATCCAAGATGGTAGTAAACCCCACTGCCAATGAACTTTGGTTGAACACTTGGACACGTCTTAAGAACACTTCTGATGCTTTTCGGTATTTCCGGTATAAGAAATCGTAGACCATACAAAACCCGATCAGCATCTCTTATGCTAAGAGATGTATTTGACTTTAGATACATTATAAAGTCGTTCATTAGTTCTTTGCGATTCACAAACTTTTGAGAGCACAAGTCCACTTCAGTACATCCTATAAGATATATATTCACGTAAGAATTTATTGTTCATACCACTATTATGTGAAAGCCTTTGATTGATGTTGCTAGTGGACGGTGTACTAGTTGAAGTACTTTCATTACAAATGACTTCTCTCGTTATTTCTATAAATTAAGTAAACAACATTGTTGAACTCAGTTACCTTTTATGGTGCTGTCATTAGCAAACTCACTAAACGAAAGAAAGTGATATTTTTTCATGAGAGCAGCTTTCATTTTATTCCACCTTCTATTATAAGTGGATCTATGACAGCCAAGGGAACGTGACAAGTTCACAGTGGCCCTACGTCTACGAACATTCTCACTGACTTCAATAGAACTCATAGTATTGACCTTACAAGGTAATCAATTACAATTAACATGAAAGTCTGAGAGCACGTCACTCACCTGCATCACGTAAGTTTTTTGTGATGGCTCCAAAGAATGTCGGAACACTTCAGCTAAACAACAAACGAAGTCACTCTGTGTGCGTATCAACCGAATGCCTGGTTCCGTATCTAGTACATTGTTTCTATGACAATACTTTTGTTTCTTTACTAAGCGGCGCCTTAATTCGCCGAAGTCTATGGAAAATTCTGTTCCTGATGCGGTTTATTCAAAAACTGTACGTTACGTAGAATTGTCGACAAATTTCCCCCAAATACACGACGTAAGGGGGAAAAAGCGACATTTCCCCTAAATAACCGACGTAAAGGCGAAAAAGCGACATTTCCCCTTTATTTCCCCTTTCGTCCGCTTTATTTCCCCTTTTTTCCCCTTTATTTCCCCTTTTTGTGTTGCTTGGGCTTGTCTGGCTAGTAATCGTTATTGAAGTATTTGCTTAAACAAAACTTTAGTTTATGATGGCTATTATATAGTATTTGTATTTTTGTTATTGTCATTACCATATGGTACAATATACATAAAGCGCATAAGCATTCCCTAAATACATCAATATGTTGGGTATTTAGTTTTGTTATGGAGTGGAAGAGGCTCAAAAATAACATGTGGATATGTTTATAGCATTTGCTCACTTTAATGTCTTTCGTCTTGGTCATCTAGTTGGAATTTTTTTTAGAACTCAACGCAACTCTTACTCAAGAGTTGTCAAATGCTGGATTTTGCTGCCGACCGAGCATTCTAGGCGACTTCCCAGGAGTCCTTTAAAAGAAAACTTGATCTATTCTTAAGGTCTAAGGATAACAGCTTATTATGATTTACCAATTTATTCTGTTTCTTCTATTATCACTAGTGTACCTAGGTTCCTGCCTGGAGGTATTGGTGATTCACTGCTACTAGACACGGAAGACCGTTAAGCGAAAGATCCTTCTATTCCGTCCACAACCATTTGAAGCATTTGAATAACGGCCGTTTTAGTAAAACCAATTAAGATGTGCACTTTTGTTTTATTTATATCAAATGCGTCTGATGGAGCTTGGCTTTATCAGGTCATTGTCTGTTCAAAGTCAGTGACTCGGCATTGTTAAAAGGAAAAAAAATGGTTTGAGTCAGTGATCAGATTGTTTTTGTTTTGACGTGTTTTGCTAGTTTTGTTTTTGTAACTATGGTGTGAAAGTTAATATTCTAGCTGACATTTTCGTGTGGCTGAATGCGGATTATACTGGGACGAGAAATTGAACGAATGTGTTTAATAAGCGGACAACAGTGGTTGTGCAATGTAATCCCAAGTTATTGTTACCTAACTTCAACATATTAATCCTACATTGCTTGAACTTTACTTTCCATCATAATTTTTTTATATTGACCGAGACCAGCTAGGTAAAAACGTTAATAAGATGTACAGCAACTCACCTTTGGGTCAGTGGTTTATTTACATCATCTGTTAGTCGGTCATATGTTGCACCCAAATCCTATATACTACCGTTTAAGCAATGTGGTGGTATCTATAGCGCCACCAAATGCACTGGTACTGCTGACAGTGGAGAGAGTCAGCTCTTCCTCTCGAAGTGTCTCACATGGCCACGCGTATACAGCCTCTGTCAGGGAAGTTCTCGTGGCGGGAGTGTTGTTTACGAAATCGAGAGGACGAAAAACGCATGTCCTCTGCTTTAATCAGGTTGGTGGACACGGAGAACCCACCCAGGGGAGTTGGAAAACCCTGATTTTTAACGACTGATGCACATGGGCTCCACGATCCTGACGGAACAAATGGTGTATGGACCAATTTTCGGCCTCTGGATAACATGGGACTGCATCTCCTTAAGATGGTCCACTTCCTTGTGGATCACACCTTTAGGTCGAAGGTTCCGGGTGTGGTCCCTTAAGAAAACCACCTGCTTCGGTTTGGGCACTCAGGCAGTATCATAGCCCTTACACAAATCGAATGTCAGTCAGTCAGCTACAACGTAGGACCAGGCACATATGTGCATCGGTCCAGGTTGCCATACCGCATCAGCACAAGATGAACACCGGATTCATAGCAGTGGTTAGGTCAAAGGTGGTAATATATAAGAGAAAGATTGCATATAGAGATATATTACAAGAAGAAAGAATTGGTTCGTAGAAAGAAAGATATGAAGTGATTTTAATCTCTTAGTTTAAGGAAAGACAGGGAGTGTATACACCGACGCCATTGTGATCGATTCTGAACCATGTCACCAAGAGTCTCCAACCATTGGTTATGATAGTCACGCGGACCCCAACCAAGTAGTCTGCATCTACCAACATGACTCAGACTAGAAGTTAGTGACTTCAAGCACTGATGCCACGTTTTGGTTTGGCCGCCCCTAACTTTCTTCCAACCATCTCCAATACCGGATAGCATTGCACTTCGTGGTAATCGGTGTTCAGGCATACGTAGCACGTGGCCCAACCATCTCAGTCGATGAAGATTCATAACCTCATCAACTGACTTACCATTATTCCCTAATACCCTGCGTTTAACCTCACTATAACTTACCCCGTGATCACAGCAGACGCCAGCAATATTTCTAAGTCATCTGTGGTCAAATACTAATAGCTTACGAGTGTATTCTACTCTTAATGGCCATGTTTCGCTGCCGTAAAGTAAAACAGAACGGACTGCCGCGCAGTACACTCGTCCTTTTATTGATAGACGGATATCTCGCCTTCGTCAAAGGTGACGTAAGTTGGTAAAAGCCAAACAAGCTTTCGAATCCGTGCTGAGATTTCGTCCGATATCAACCCATTAGGGCTGATCAGACTTCCAAGATAAGTGAAGTTGTCAACGCGTTCGACTACTTCACTCCCTATCCTTAGTTCAGGTGTTTACGCAGACCAGTCCTGAAGCAACAACTTGCATTTCGAGGGAGAGAAGCGCATTCCAAACATTCTGGCATTGTTGCTTAGTGCTACCAGAAGATTGCATTTTGTCAGCGTCTTCACCAAACAGGACTATGTCATTTGCTTGTTCTAAGTCGATAAGTCGACCTCCTGGATGGAGATCAATACCCGAGAACTCAGTCGACGAGAAAGTTATTTCCATCAGTAGATCCATGATGAAGTTAAACAAAAATGGGGAAAGTGAACAGCCTTGACGGACACCACTTGAGGTTGCAAAAGTAGATGACAGTTCGCCATAAGCTCTGACTCAACTAGTAGTGTTTGAGTAAAGAGCCTTCACAAGGTTCATGTACTTCTGAGGTACGCCTTTCAATGACAAACACTGCCACAGAATCTCGCAGTCTACCGAGTCAAATGCTGCTTTTAAGTCGAGAAAGACCACCATTGTCGAACGCCGTTAAGTATGCCCGTGTTCTAGAATCTGACGAATGGTGAATATGTGGTCGATGCAGCCACGACCCGGTTTGAAGCCAGCTTGAGTCTGCATATTTTCATAATTTTATTTGTTACACTTGAAATGGTCATTTGGTAAAAATGACGGGTCATTTTATTGTCTCAGTGACATTAAGAATGTTGTCAAGGTGAGAATAGAGTTCTGGGAAACCATTCAATCACCAGTTTAATGGATACTCATGGGGTATTAGATAAGGTTGATGTGCGCTTACTTTCCCCTAGATTCCTCTCCATCCATGAGATGGTTTCTCTGGTAGCATTAGATGCTTAATATGTGAGTTTACAAGTAGTTGCAAAGCTACATATATTTCATAGATGCATAGAGTTTTCTTGACTATATGTGTGCCTATGGTTGTGTTGAACGGATTCTATGCACAGTAAATGCAAATGAACAAGTCCAATCACTCGTTGTGGTTATAAACGTTCGTTGACTTAAATTACTAAATCCATTTTAAGACAGGTTAGATTCATTCGTATTCAAAACAGATATGACTCATGTGCTACATGAGAATTTATAACATTGCTAAATTGCATCATATTATCAATATTACTCTGGTGTCATACTGCTCTGTTTTCAGCAATTTTGTCTAAAAATCACTCTGAATACCCACATGATTTTCACTCTTGTTTAGAAAATCATTTTTCTCAACTTGGTTACACTGTCAACTAATAGACAATGCTTTCCTTTTTTAATCATAAGGTTTGGGTATGCTGTCTACCTTACCGACTTAAATAACGTTTTTTAAAACTTCTTTTGCCATTTCAGGTATCTTTGCACGTTTTGTTACAAACAAGTCTTGATATTCACTCAACAAAAGAATATTAGTTTAAGAACGGTTGGAGGATTTACAAATTAATAACACACACAAGTTTTCATGAACAAGCTCTGGAGATATCATCTGAGTTATAGTACACAAAGCAGGGCACAAACTATTGTGTACCATGCTCAGTGAACCTGCTTCCCCATACGCATTTTGTAAAGATTTGCAGAACCTAATCATTGTAACAGAAGAGCAAATCATTTCACCTTTGCGCAAAGAGTTAAAAAGAAGTGATGAACATTCCGAAATTTTATCACTTGAGATACAAGACGCTGAGGTAATTTGGTGAATATAGTGCAATTTCCGTTATAGAATAAAACTTTTGAATATTTAGCCCAGCAAATTTCAGCTATTTGTAATGCTGATGAAGATACAGCTAATGCCATTCTGCGTGAATATCCAAAATCGGAAGTTTGCTTTCGATGTCTCGGTATAAATGATGACACTATACAGGTAAGTGATGAATGTCTTCAGATTTTCATACGTATCTCTAGGGCCTTCTTCGTATTCGTGGTATTGGCTTTCTACAATTGTTAGATATGCCTGACAGTGAAGTGAGAACAATCTTACAAAATTATGGTGATTATGGTGAGGAAGTTGATCATGTACTTGCTGGTCTTGCAAAAATACGCGGGAATATTGATCTCATTGAAAGTGACTTAGCATTTGAAGATGATACCAGGAACTTAATCAAATTGGTGATGCGTTTGTCTGACGATGATTCTGAAGTTGAAGAACTGAATAATATCCTTAATGCTCAAATTTACGAAGAAAGAAAGGATCCTCGTATACCTCCCTTATATGTTACTGGCCCTGAAGATTCTCCTTTTATTAACAAGGAAATGTCTGCACAAAACTCGTCTCATAAAAATACCAAAGTAGTTGTTTGCTCTCATTTAGAGCACGATACATCCTGTGGAAATCTTATTAGCCATTCCAATTCCGATAATATTAATACATTTAAAACTGGTTGTGATGTCAACTACAATGGCTGTAGTTCGTTTACTTCCCCACATGCTTCCAGTTGTATCACCATAAATAGTCCACAGAATGTCACAAATAAATCTCATTCCGGAAAATTGTCCAAAACTGATTTTAAGACATTTAATCTCTTCCCGGGTATATCTGATTCGAATATTCCTTCAGAAGTTGATCTACATAATGGCGGGCTTTCAGTACCTTCTACTCCCATTTCTTATAAATTATCCTCGACCATTTTAACACCCTCAAATCTTTTTAAAGCAGGCCGTCATACACTACCAAATGAAGTAATCTCACTTTCTCCCGGTGGGCGTCGAGCAGGCAATCATTCGTCTCGAGATCGCGAGCATCAAACTCGTCAGGCAGGGACTCCGCCACCCAAACATCGTTTAAGATTTTCTTCTCCGCTTCATCGTAGCAAGTCTCATGAGTCTAATCTTGCCAATCGTATTATTTTACCTGCCCTCCCAAATGTACCACAGTTCCACCAAGAAACAAACTCTTCCTGTTATATCAGTAGACCACAACTATTTTTATATAATCCGATTTCCCCAGACGCCTCCAGTAATTTACACAACGATTATTTCAATTATTCTGAGTGTATAAATGGCGGTCGACCGTGTATAACTACTACTCAATGTGGTGTATGTATTAGCAGCGATGTTATTTCAAATGGGAATAAAACAGTTTCAACATTTTATAATACTTGTTCCATTAGTGATAGTACTTCCACACTTGTCACAAGTCCACGTACCTACGATCAAGGTCGACGTGTGTCTTGTGAATATCGACCATCAAAGACTAATTTACAACCTTTAATGACTACATCTGCAGATAGTGATAATTTATTAGGTAGGTTTTTTTTAATGACAGATTAGGCATATCTACTGCTTTATGCTTTTTTTCTACACTTATATATTTCGTAAAAGAAAAGGTATATATTGATCATAATTTCTGTTAGGAAACTTTCGAATTTTCGAGCTCAATGAATATTCCATTCATATTACTTCATGAATAGTTGTAAATCAGTATAATGAATTCATAGTTATACTGGATTTTTCGATAAACTGTTAAATATTTTATTCTAAGCACTAAAAAACAGTCATTAGCTTTGTAGTCATCTTGGTTATATATTTGAGTAGTAAACTTCAATGGTGGTTGCAATGTAAACTTTTGACTTGTAATCATTCAGTAAAAAAAAGATTTATGAATTGAACCTAGTGCTATTCAGTACTCAAAATATATTTATGACTTCACCTATCGGAAGTATTATGTGACTTACAGTAACGTTGAATGGTTCATTACACTGCTTAATGAGGAATAATTTTTTATCTACCGATGTATAATTGTCAGTACTGGACTCTTCCCTAGTTCCTGGTTATTCTATATATCTGGTGACTGATTTTTTGTGGTATTGTGCAACATCGTGATTTCTTGTGTAAATAGCTTTGTAATTGTGAACTTTACATGAGTTTCACATTTGTTCACGGATTACTTTCTACACCTGTTCAGCTAGGTTGGCAAAAACCAACGACCTTTTTGAATTCAAACTGAGATTTTGTCGGACACTAAACGGCTAGGGCTGACGAGAATCCAACGTTAGTTTATGCCTATAATGTTAATCATAGTTTATCGTACAAAACGTGTTTATTTCGTAAGGTGAATATCTTTGTAGTTTTGCATTCGTATTTTGTTCTTATTGTTTGATTAAATACACCTTTTTTAACACTGCGACTTTGCTTTGTAGGCATTTTGTGAGTGAAGTTCTTTTCGAAATAAGTTGCTGAAGCTTGATCTTACGTAGATTGCATTGCGTTTTTCATTAAGGTGACTTTCACAAAAGGTTTTGTCTCCTAGTATTTAGAGCTTTCAAAAGAGTTAACTGAAATATACTGTGGTATGACCTTGAATGACTTTTCAAGCAGTTAGAAGTGATTTTAGTTATAATGCAAGTTGTGATATAAATGTCAGTCAGTCAGTAACAACGTAGAACTTCATACATACGTACATCAGTTCGAGTTGCTACACCACATTAGCACAGAGATGCAGTTGTCGACTCAAATTCCGTAGTAGTATAGGTAGTATAAGCAGTAATCGGAAACATTAAGGCTTGATGTTATTCAAGTAATACAATCCAGTGAAATAAATTTGGAAAGAAAATAAGGGACATAAAGAATTCAGAAGATTAAAATTTGGGAGAATACAAAGAGTGGATGCACTTGTGCCATTGCAGACGATTTTGAGCCATGTCATTTAGGGTCTCTAACCATCGGTTGCTATCATCTCGCGGTCCCCAACCACGTAGTCTACACCTACCAACATGACTCAGTCCACTTGTCAGTGACTCCATGGACTTGTACTATGTTTTGGTCTGGCCGCCCCTAGCTTTCTTTCAATCTACTCCTATACCACTGAACATCGCACGTCGAGGCAGTCGGTGGTTGAGCATATGTAACACGTGTCCCAGCCATCTCAACTGATGAAGTTTTCCCACTTCATCAATTGCTTTGCCATCCTTACCTAGTACCCGTTTCCTAACAACTGCATAACTTACTCTATGATCTCAGGATATACGAGCAATGCTTCAAATACTATTAACCTACGAATATCCTCTACTCTTACCGACCATGATTCACTGCCATAAAGTAGGACGGAAAGAACTGCTGCGCAGTAAACACGTCCTTTGGTTGATAGACGGATATCTCGCCCACGCCATAAATGACACAATTTGACAAAAGCTAGTCGAGCCTTCTGTATCCGTGCTGAGATTTCGACACACACCAGGCCACAAGGGCTGATGAGACTTCCGAGATAAGTGACGCGGTCGACACGCTCAACTACTTCACTCCCTATCATTAGTTCGGGTGTTAATGCAACCCAATCCTGAAGCAACATTTTGCATTTCGCGAGGGAGAATTGCATGCCGAACGTGCTTGCGTTGTTGCTTAGAGTGGTCAGAAGACTCTGCATTTTGTCAGCGTCTTCACCAAATAGAACGACGTCATCGGCATATTCCAAGTCAACAAGTGAATCTCCCGGTAGAAGTTCAACCCTCGGAAATTTAGATAAGGAAGGTGTTATCTCTAAAAGCACATCAACGACAAAGTTAATCAAGAATGAAGAGAGTGGACAGCCCTGACGAACACCACTTGAGGTAATCAATTCTGATGACAGTTCGCCATAAGCTCTCACTCTACCAGTTGTGTTCGAGTAGAGAGCCTGTATAAGGTTAATGTACTTCTTTGGTACTCCTTTCAGTGACAAACACTGCCATAGAACCTTACGATCAACAGAGTCGAATGCTGCCTTAAGGTTGAGAAATACTACGATTGTGGGGCGTCTGAACGTGTGTCTGTGTTTTACAACCTGATGTGTGAATATCCGGTCTATACAACCACGTCCAGGTCTAAAACCAGGCTGATGTTTTCTAGTTTGTTCTTCACGAGCTTTGGTTAGGCTCCGAAGTATTATTGAAGCTAATATTTTATACACTATATTAGTCAAACTGATTCCTCTGTGATTGTCACAAGAGGACTTTTGTCTTTTCTTATAGACTGGTACAGTCAGTGATTGAGACCAGTCAGATGGGATAACGTCCAGTTCCCAAATTCTACCTAAGACCTCGGTTAATCTCATTGCTAATACTGGACCACCATCCTTAAAAATCTCAGGAGTAAACCTGCTGCTCTCCCTCGTTTCAGATTTCCTATGGCTTTTTCAACTTCGTAAAGGGACGGAGAACTTACATTAACTTGATATTCAGGTTGACTATAGATCGTGGGAAACCGAAGTGTGGCTGAAGGCCAGTTGAACTGATCCCTAAACTGTTCTGCCCATCGATCCAATCTCCTGGGTTGAGAATGTATAATATGTCCATCTTTCTCTGAGATTGTTTCGCTAACGGTCGGGTTCCTAATTCCGCTTTCCTTAACGAGTCTGAACAATTGTCTGCTATTACCTATTGCCACTGCCTTTTCCATCTCTCTTGCTTTCGCTACCCACCACTGTTCGCGATCATTGCGTAGACTTCTTGTCAGCTTGCGCTTAAGCTGACTCCGCTCTTCACTATGTTAAGAGCCAGGTGGAATGAGTTTCCGAGCATCTATCAGTGCGATAGATGCTGCTGAAATCCAGTGTTGCTCTCTAACCTTCTGGTTTACCTTACTAGCAGATACCACTGCTGTTTCCACAGCTTTTCGGATATCATTCCATGCTGCATCGGGGTGGGCATCACATACATGGCTGCCTAACTGTTTTCCTAGTTGTTCCTGAAATATACTCTTAGCTTGACTATCATTAAGTAGGCCCCTAAGAGGTTTCCTTGCAGCGTCTTTCCTACGTCCAGTAAGACGCAAGCAAATACGCGCTCGCACTAGAGGATGATCTGAATCTAAGCATGTGCTCCAGAATGAGCGACAGTCTTCTATCGAGCCCCTCCATCGGTGGCTGATAGCGATGTGATCTATTTGGGTCCAACGTTTGGACGAATTAGGGGGTCGCCATGTTAAAAGATGTTTTTCCTTATGCTTACAGTTAGTATTTGCGAGGAACAGGCGATTATCTGAGCATAGCTGCAACAGACGGTCGCCATTATCTGTTCTTTGAGCCACGACACCATAAGATCCACCTAGGTGTCTTTCCCTATCGCTTAGTTTACCTACTTGAGCATTAAAGTCACCGGCCACTACTACTACATCAGAGCGCCTAGCTTTTTGGACAAGCTTTCTGTAGAGCTCATCTTTTACATCTGAGCTGCAGTCAATGGGAGAATAGGCAGAGACGACGAGTGTCCCTACCCTTCGCAGTCCTTATTGTTCCGTTTAGTCGGACAGCGCACAAACGACTGTCTACTGGGATCCAGTCTAAGAGAGCTAGTTCTGCCCCAGGACTCAATGCTATACCTACGCCGGCAAGTCCACGAGAAGCAGCATCTGGGCCTCGAGATATACAAAGTGTGAATCGAGTTGGTTCTTTGTTTTGACATGGTGATGTCAAATGAATGACGCTACTCGGATCCTGTATGCGTGTTTCGGAGACGCAGCACATATTGGTGGCACGAGGTTCTAAAGTCCTAGCTAAGAAAGCCTGTTGTCCTATTTGGCACACTATTCGGACGTTATAAGCTCCAACATGAAGTTTTTCGTAACGTAGCTTCCACACCAGATCATACTCACTTTATGTTTGCACAACGGATATATGTTTATCAGTTTTGAGCGTATCAAGAACCGAATAAATGAAAATTTTACTAACATGTCAATGGGGCATAAAGTAGTTGCCGTTTTTGCAACAATCAGGAAGATATAAATAAAAATAATATATTTGGAATGGTGTAAGTTTAGTATGTATTTAATAATATATTTGTAATATCCCAATGAGTAGAAAATTGGATTTTCTGACGTTTCGTGACTTAGTGTAAGTCACTTCTTCAGAGAATAAATAACCAAATTAAAATTAATCCAAGTTTAAATAGTACAACGGAACAACGCAAGAATAATATTGGATCAATCAAAAACAAGTCTGAACAAGTTGATGTCATGTCATTTCTGTCAAGGTGATTCATAAGTGATATGTATGTAAATTTGTGTGTATGTATATGTGTATTGTTTAAGAATGAAAACTTGTGTGACCTTTATGGTAAGAAAGGATTGAGTTTAAATTTGTAATATGATAGTGTGAAATTGTAAATACGATCAGACTGAGTGGCTAGGATAGATGGTCCAAGTAGGATGTATATTAAGACCTTCCTTTCTATTGAGAGAAGTAGGATTAAGCATTATATGGAACGCCTCAGCTACCCTCCTTTCTTTGTAGTTAGAAAGGTCACACAAGTTTTCATTCTTAAACAATACACATATACATACACACAAATTTACATACATATCACTTATGAATCACCTTGACAGAAATGACATGACATCAACTTGTTCAGACTTGTTTTTGATTGATCCAATATTATTCTTGCATTGTTCCGTTGTACTATTTAAACTTGGATTAATTTTAATTTGGTTATTTATTCTCTGAAGAAGTGACTTACACTAAGTCACGAAACGTCAGAAAATCTAATTTTCTACTCATTGGGATATTACAAATATATTATTTTTATTTATAACAATGAACCCAATGCTCAATTTATTCGAAATTATCAAATCAAACCTTGGTAATGACACCTACAATCAAGAAGATATTTTATTTCTGATTAGTCCTAAGCTATGACTTACTTTAGCCAGTAGATTAAATGAGTATCCATAAACATCTCTAGTTTGTTAATTGTGTATTTGAAGTAATTAGACATGCTTTCATTTAAATCTAGGTATCCTTAATGTTCCGACTAACTCAGGTGGGGCCACATTTGTTCTCAGTGCAAGTGGATTTATGCACAAGTGAGTTAGTGTCTATATTTGTGTTTAACAGATATATGTGTATTTTCGTAGTAGTTGTATTCAACTTGGCACTTGCTTAGTGAATTAGTCATTAAATAGTAAAAAATGAATAGATATATGTGTATTGGTTTCTCTCACGGTCTGAAGGAATCTTTTGCTCTCTTCAAAATACATAACCCCATAGTTCAAAGTCGAACTTCATAGTATTATTCAAAGAGTTTGTTACAACTAAAAGCTAATCATAGGGAAATCAAACATATGTTAAAACAGTGTTTAAAGTTCACACTGGTAACCGAAATTGCGATTTCCATGTAATTGAGTTCACTAAACATTTTATGCCATATGTTTGTCAGGTTCATTTAGTGGGCGTTTTTAAAAGTTTAATTGTGAAATTCAGAAGTGTTTGTTTGACGAACCAACTGTAGATCATTCGATTATTCGTTTATAAACTATCTTCATGTCGTAATTTTACATCACTGAATGACTTTGGTTAGACAACCATAGAAAACCAGGGATCACTGAATAGCTTATTCATTTTGGTATAAAACTCTTTACTTGTGGGGATTCACGACCACACCTGGTACCGAAGCCTGAATCTTCAGGCTTCTCATCTAGCGCTTAATGTGCAGGCCACTGAGTTGGTATCCAACATTTCTAACCACTACTTATTGCCATTATTGATATGATTGTCTCACTTCAAACTTCACTGGTGACAGCTTCTCAGTGAAACTGAATTTCTTCATCTACGTATAGTTTGATATTAATAACATTGTAGTGAACAGGAACACCAGCGGGGACAATCGAATGTATTTAACACAAAATTACAGGACTTGTTAATAAAACCTAACAATCATAAAGTAAATTCTTAATTTGCAAAATGTCCACCAATTGTCTCGAAATGACCCAGACTTCATTGTCCTTGCATTTTCATTCAAATTGCATCCTATTTCCATTCTTTACTGCTCGATCCTCTTGTCTCTCTGCTGCCAGACCTTCTGTTCACGACTAATATCATATACTACTTATGTCAATATAAGTAGCAAACACCATAGTATGGCTAGATATATTTTTATGACATGTGACAGTTGTTTAACATGTTATTTCACAATTTTTCCGTTTCACAGATTCGAATTAGAATCTAAATTTGGTGATTTTGTTAAAGGTACTCCATGCGCTGTTTGTAATAATCGAATGCGATTTCGTCTACAACATTGTGCTTACTGCAAGTAAGTGTGCTAATATATTACTTTACTTAAAAAATGATAATATACATGCACTGTTATATTTTACTATAAAAAGTATACTAGTTGCACCTGTTATGTCCTATAACCCGCCAAATATCACTTGGCGAAATCGCCAATCAGAATACCGACTGCTATCACCCTGTCTCTGTGCTAAACCAATGATGCGTTAACCGGCACGAGAAGCCTTGAGTCAGCTCTGAGACCTTATTGGTCCTCTGTGTAGTAGCCTCTCACCTAGCTCCTCCTATTCAGTTCAGAACACAAATATCAGCCTCCGCTGTGTAAATCGTATATTTCAGACATACGTAGTTTATATACAAGCAGACCAGACCAAATAACAAGATAAAACGAAAAATAATCATTATACAAGATCAAGCCAAAAGTGGCTGTGACTATGGGATACTGTAACTAATAAATTTTCCATGATTATTATTAAATTCTGATTGAGATCATGAATCGATCAGTATTAGACCGCCATTGAAAACCTGGAAGCACTGGACGGTCGTTTCGTCCTAGTTTGGGACTCCTCAGCAGTGTGCATTCATGATCCCAAGCTACAAAAACACGACCGTCCAGTGCTTCCAAGTTTTCAGTGATGGTCTAACATTGATTGATTCGTGATCTCGGTCAAAACTCAATTTCTACAACCTTAAACTGATATTATTCAATTGTTATTATGACCTTTACGTTTTTCACTTTTTTGTATATCTGTCAAGTGGACAATTATCTCTCATATTTGTAACCTGTAAATTATTTTCACTACCTTATTCTTCTTTAATCCATTGATTTCTACTCAACCTCATTTGATATTTGGAGTCTCGAATCTTTTGATGATGCAATCTTTTCTATCCTTCTATAGATTCATATATTTACCATACAACTATAAGTACGAAGGTACAGCTTAAGTAAATGGTTTCTTCGGAAAGTGAAAATTTCCTCCTCTAAATTCGCTTTATTTTTATTATTGAGTGTACAAATAACTTGCTTAAGATTAGATTTTATTGTCTTGACTTGTTATTGTAACACTATACACATTTGTTTGACTTTTTTTTAAAAATCTCTGTACATAGAATCAAAGTACATAAAAGTTGCATTTCTCATTCAAGACGACTTCCTTGCACAGGAGCTTCCAGTGGAAAAAACAATGAATTACACGAATTCAAAGGTAATCCATTTTAATATTCTCTTAAATATAAGTATGAGAGATGATATATCAAATGTTTGGGAAAATATATGAAATTATCCAGATTTTATTGCATTGTAGACATTCTTACGTCTAGCTAAACAACTGATTGCAAGTTCATTTTAATGGTAAAGATGTCATCTACATGCATACTTTAATCAGCTTTTATTTTAGTATAATTTCAAATCAAATAACTCTCATCAACACTACAACTAATTTTCCACATTCAACAATATTCATACATTTAGATAGTTTGTGTTTTAATATAAAGTCGTTTTACGTATCCGAAATGCCCTGGTACGGTCGAGAGTTGGGAGAGTCAGCTCTCCCTATCCGAACGCTCTCACATGGCCACGCGTATACAGCCAGTAAAGTCTTACCCACTGCCTTCTCGCGGCTGCAGTGTCGTTTACGACATTAAGAGGACGAAAATCAAATGTCCGGCACCTTAACTGGGTTGGTGGACACGGAGGGTCCACCTAGTGGAGTTGGAAAATTCTGATTCCAAAGCAATGGTACATATGGGACCCACAATCCTGAGTGAACAAATGGCGTATGAGCCAATTATTGGTCACTGGCTACCATTGGACTGCATCTCCTTGTGGATCAGATCTTTAGGTCAAAGGCTCCGGGTGTGGCCTCCTAAGAAAATCACCTGCTTCATTTTGGGCAATCGGGTAGTATCACAGCTCATACACCAATCAAGTGACTTGTGTAGTGCATATGTATTTAGTGCCCCTTTGTATCAATATCAATTTAATAAATATAAAATAAATTCGATAATTTTTAATTTTTAATGATTTCCTTGAAGAAGTTCGTCCTCAACTATTTTAATTTCAATTAATTACTGGAATTATTATAAATATAATTCCTTTTTGTTACCCTTAACAATAATTGGATGCAAGAATAGAATTTTTTCAGTAAATATCATCATTTTCATTTTATTTGAAGAAAGGTGTGCCTGAGAAGTTTATTGACATTTTAAAGGCCCTATATACAAACATCTCAGGTAGAGTGAGGGCATACAACCACCTTTATCCATTGTTCCATTCAAGCAGTGAGGTTAGACGGTTGTCCAATCTCACCATTTCTCTCCAACTTTGCCATCGATGAAATTCTGGAAAAAGATCTGATGGATGTAAGTAATGGTGGTGTGGATCTGTTGCCTGGAGAAAGACTTCTCGACCTTGAGTATGCGGATGATATTGTCTTACTGTGCGATAATGCCCAAGGCATGCAATCCGCACTTAATCAGTTGGCAATCAATGTCCGTAGGTATGGTATGTGCTTTGCACCTTCGAAGTGCAAAGTACTTCTACAAGACTGGCAGGATTCTAATCCCGTACTCACCCTGGATGGTGAGCAGATAGAAATAGTCGAGAAGTTCGTGTATCTAGGTAGCTGCATAAGTGCTGGTGGTGGCGTGTGTGATGATATCAATGCACGTATAGTGAAAGCCAGAGCGGCTTGTGCAAACCAAGCTGTAAATGGTCGGATCTACAACGCGTCGGTGAGAGCAGTTCTGTTTTATGCTTGTGAAACGTGGCCTCTCTGAGCTGAGGATATTAGACGACTCTCTGTGTTTGATCGTCGTTGTCTCCGAAGGATTGCTGATATCCAGTGTCGACACCATGTTAGTAATGCAGAGGTTCGGCATCGTGTGTTCGGGTACAGGGACGATAATGCGATTGGTGTCACCATGTTGAAACATCGACTTCGGTGTCTTGGAGATGTTCTACGAATGTCGTCTCAGGGAATTCCACATTGTAAATTATTTGCCGACTCTTGGACTGGTTGGAAAAAGCGGAGAGGTGGTCAGTGTATGACATGGTGTCGTGGAATGAAAGAAAGCTGCAAAGGACTGGCTTGTGTTGGTCCTTCACGACTCCCTGGTTGGGGTCCGAAAGGTGGTGCAACACAGTGGCTAGAAACGTTATCAGATATGGCTGAGAATAGAAGCCAGTGGGAATCCTGCTGTAGGCTTCTTTTACTTTCTTCATAAAAAGTGGTTGTATCTTCCTTAACTGAGAGATTTCTTCTGATTGTACCTTTCCGTTTCCTCCATTATTATCATTATTACTATTATTATCACACCACCTTACACTAATCTGGTCGTTATTAATCTTTTTTTTCTTTTACGCTCCTTACCTTCCTTTTTATCTCTTCCCATTCTCTTTGTTTTGTGTGGCGCTTATATATTTGGTGCCCTCTTGTGCCAATATTTATGTATTCAAATAAATAAATAATAAGTCACTTATAAGTTATGACTTATTGAATTAGTTATTGAATTTTACTTGATTATCGTGTCATGTGTAACATACATATCGGTAGTAGTAGTACTTAGTAGTAGTGACATTTGTAAATAAATTTTTCACATGTATATCACGTTTGTATTTTTTTTGTATTTAATAAATAATTAATTGTAATTACAAATTATTTTCAAGTGATGATTCTAAACATTTTTAGTTAATTTTTTCTTTTGTTTTACCAAGGATACATAGACACTGATTATTAAATTAACAAAGTGGTAACTTATATCGGTTAGAGCGTTCAATTTCATCTATTTTAATTTTATTAGTCAGGTAGTTGTATTGTAGTGCATACTACCTATATTGACAGATATAAGTAGTATGTATCAGCAATCGCAAGTCAAGTGCATATCAGAAGAACAGGAACTAAAATAGGGATCAGTTGTAATAACAACAGAATTGAAAGAATCATAAAGTTTGTAAAGGATAACTGAAGGAAGATGTGCAAATAATGTATTTAATGAATAATTTTCATATTTTACGAAGGTACTGTTTAGTTTTTTGCACTCGAGAATAAATTGTGTTCAGCCATCTAATTTATGTTCACATTGTTTGTTATCGCTGACAAAAAGAGGACGACGGGTATAGTAATGCACACGTAGTTGTGTGGTTGAAAGTATGTTGTCTAATTAGTGATTACCTCTGCAATAGGGAGACATCTAATGGAGTGTCATGGTGGAGCGGTGTTAGGTGTAACGATCGCTGTTGTTGAAGAGATGAAGTGAAAACTATGGTTGCTGAACGAACATGAAATGTAGATGGTGCGGTAGGTCGACATCACTCTGGTGGAGGTCAGCGCGCTGGTCGACTCGACATGTCGGTGTGAGGCGTGGGACAGATTGTACCAGAGAAGAGAATGGTACGGTCAGCAGAATGAACTCGAAAGTGACTCCCGTTTAAACGGATGACGAGTCTAGTTTATGATTCTTGTGTTGACAGATATAAGTAATATGTGGCAGCAATGTAAAGTGGAATGCATACAAGCGGAACATTGAATTTAAGAGAACAGAAACTAAAATAAGGATCAGTTGTAACAACAACAGAATTGAAAAAATCATAAAGTTTGTAAAGGATAACTGAAGGAAAATGTGCAAATAATGTATTTAATGAATAATTTTCATATTTTACTAGAAGGTACTGTTTAATTTTACATTCAATAATAAATTTGTTTTCCCCATCTAAGTTCTCATTCACTTCAGTACAATAAATCTCCATAAAAAAACGACGTATACCTAAAAGTTAAGTACATAAACACATTTACATTTGGTAAATGATTTTGTTTTAACGATTCACTCCAAAAAATTTGACATCTAAACCAAATCTTCTACATGACAGCTGAAGATATTCATCAGTTTAGTATGGAAGATCATATTTTATTGTCTTCATATTTATTTTTAACTATTCGACTATTTGAAGACAGTTAGTATATGAATGTTGATATTATCATTCATTGTTCCAATAGACATTGTTATTGTTAACACTATAGAAATTTGAACCCTCTCCCTTATATATACAAAAACAATTTGTCCACAATCCCACCCCCCGCGAAATTCGAACTCAGTACCTATCAGTCTCGCGCCAGGCGCTTAACCAACTAGACCACTGAACGGGCATCCAACGGTTTTAATTTCTAACTTCAACCAATCCACGAAGTTGCGCCACCGTACACCATTGTCTTCAGTGAGTTGATATCTCACAACAGACCTGGTTGAACTCCACTGGTAACAGCTTCTCACTAGAACTCCAGGGGTATCTCCTGAAGTAAGTCACTAGTGAGCAGGCGATTATTATCAGATTGGGTTTTGTGGAGATTTTTTAGAAATTTCACTGGCTAAGGAGTCCCATACTAAGACGAAACGGCCATCCAGTGCCTCCAGATTTTCCATAGTGGTCTAGCTTCAATTGACTCATGATTTCAACCAGTGAAATCTCTTCTATTTTTTATTTTTGTTGATTTTTTTATAATTTTTTTACTTGAACTTTCATTCAAAATAGACCTTTATTAATTTTCATATAAAATACCCTGACATGTATATGTGTGATCAGATTGTTTGAAATGTAAGACACAAATACATCCCATATTCATCAAATCAACTCCATCTTCTCATTGTTCTATCGAGATTTATGAAAAACGGACTGATTGCTTTAAAAAAATAGCATTTGTTTATGCACCCTTATATACAATAGTAAACAATCCATCTGTTGAATTTTGAAGTAAATATTTTTATACTGAATATGTATTAATCTATGTATATATATTAATGATTGTACTGTTTATCTATGTGTCTATTTTCTATTTTCATTATAAAACAATAGTTGATACATTTTGATATATATCAAAAAGGGGTTTTGTGAATATTAAAGTGATTGAAGCTGAGGAGTCTCACAATCGGACTAAACGATTATCCAGTGCTTCCAGGTTTCCCATGGTGGTTAAGCTTCAATTGACTTATGATCTCAACTATTAAATAAAATTACATTTTGATATATTAACAAGATATATGATTGTTGTGTAATTTTATTATCTTAATCATTACTTTTAAAGGTTCTCCAAATATGCCTCGTCAATTGCATACAAATGTTTTAACAACTAGTCAAACAAATCTTCGTCCTGCCCATTCTACTCCAGCATTTCAAGTTAGTTAATAATAATAATAATAGTAATAATACTTTATTCTTTTTGACTTATTTGTACAATATTAACATAATTATGGAAGAAAGTAAACAAGTAATATGTATCGAACCTTAATTATATCATTTGTTGGATTCTGTCATTTTATTTTATTTTATTTGAAAACATAAATATTGATACGAAGGGGCACTGAATACATGTGTCACACAAGTTACTTGATTTGTGTGTGGGCTGTGATACTGCCGGGGTGCCTAAGCCGAAATAGGTGGTTTTCTTAGGGAGCTACACCTGGAGCCTTAGACCTAAAGGTCTAGTCCACAAGGTAACGAAGCAACGTCAAGAGATGCAGTCCCATAGTAGTAGGTGATCGATTATTGGTTCATACACCATTTGTTCCCTCAGAATCCTGGAGCCTAAGTGCACCATTAGTTTGGTATCAGGGTTTTCCAACTCCCCTAGGTGAACTCTCTGTGTCCACCAACCCGATTAAAGCGCCTGACGTTCGCTTTTCGTCCTCTCGATTTCGTAAACAACACATTGGACGCGAGAAGGCAGTAAGTATGACTTCCCTGTCAGTGGCTGTATACGCGTGTCCATGTGAGAACATCTCCAGAGGGAGAGCGAACTCTCACCACTCTCGGCCGTACCAGGGCATTTGGATTCTGTCATAGCTTAAATAACTGTTAAATCACGTTTCAGGCTCAATCAGTCTAGTTAGAACCTTTAGTGCTGTCCATTTTTAGTTCAATTATTGTTATATGGTTGATATATCTAATATTTGAGAGCTTGATATTGGTTTTCTAATTGCTTCCTAGTCCCTCAGAAATCTCGTACACTTTTACCTTGAAGAGAAGAAAAAAGGTTGAGTTATCTATCCCTAGAAGGATTAATGTAGGTATGGAAATGTATTATACATATTGTTTGTACATAATTCTGTAAAAGCTTCTGGAGCTGTGTTAAAATGAGTATTATCGTTATTCTGGAACTCTTTCTTAAACGCTGATTAGACAAGACATTTTAAGCTTAGTTAGAGAATAGAAAGACGAAACTCTGTGATTCTCAAGCGGAACTAATAATCTCACCATGTATAATTACTAACTAGATGGTATTAATTAGTTGAGTGACTTTTTCGATGGCTTAAATCAAAAGCTATTGGAATTCGGGATTCATATTCATTTGTCATTCTTCCTTTGAATGGTTTTGATTTAATTCATTCCTTTTTAAACTAAATTTTTTCTGGTTGTTATTTTTTTACAGCTGTTAATTATCATTTCTTTGTTTTTTTTTCTCATGTTAATTTCTTCTCATTACTCTATGAGTATCTAAAGCATGACAACTTGGAATAATACAAATTTGTGCTAGGTTCTTAAGATTGCTTATGTGTGCGCCTGTGTTTCATGGACACTTGCAAAAGCTAAGCCACGCAGATTTGGATTTTATGAGTAGTATAAGCTCCCTCATGGTTTTATGTGCGCTTCGCTGCGCACGAGTACCAACTAACACAAAACCTAGGTTTGCTCTTGACTGCTTTTAATTATTTCATACCAAACTCAGCTCACACGATATCAATTCACTTAGATTATTGACCACATTGCAACTTGATTGATAAAATTCAATCGGCAAAAATGACTAGACCAATATGACATTAATTACTACTCAGCAATTCAAATCCCTACTTATTAGTTGAAAGCTGCTTATATATTAAGCTTTACTGGCAGGACTATAATTTATGACCGAACCAATCGGATTTAGGATAACAGGTCTTGGGTTTAGGCGCGAAATTCATTCACCCGTTCCCTAAGCTAGATGATTTAATTGCAAAAATTTCAAGTGGAGTTGCTAATTTCATTGAGCGTGAGAGTACCGGGCTATTCAATGAGACTATCCAGCATCATCACTATATTCTGTTTTGAGTGGATAGTTTCTATTACCGAGTTCTTCATAACGCAAGAGTTTCAACAAAAACCTCTCATCGTTAATGATACTTCATTTAATTGTGATTAGTTATTAGTAGTATTTGTTTTCTATAGTGGAATCGTGTATAATGTGATCAGTTTCACTTGAGTACCATTAAAATAAAATAATCAGGTTCGAATCCTGGAGTGAACAACTCAACTCTGGGATTCAGATACATTCAACTGTTCAGCTCCAAATAACATGAAACATGCATTTTGGTTTACACTTCTAGCCACCATCTATCATCTTTGCTTATAAAGTACATAAATATTTCTTTTAAAATTTTAATAATACGGTTGTCTTTGATCGTTGAATAATACAAACAACTTTAAAAATCAGTAATCATTTTAGATTTCAAGTGTTTTCATTGTATGGTATCTAACTTCATTTCATTATAATCTGTAATATAGAAATCAGTTTAATTGTGTGTAATTAACAGAACTATAATGATGATTATGTCATAAACGACTTATTCAGAAAGTATGCTAAGCTGGCTTTCCTTTTTTTTCGTTGTTGTTGTTATTACTTAAGAGCATATAAGCAGGATTTACTTATTCATTGTTTTACACCATGCAAAGTTAACAAGTTTCAAAGTACTGTTTTTGCAATCAGCGCCTAGGTTCCAACCTCGTTATTTGCATCTACTGACTTGGATCAAATGAACAGTTATAGGTTTCAATAATCATCACTAAACGGATTGTTTACAGAAATGAGATTGGAAATAATTAACTGTATGTACGTATATCCAATCATCATCTATTTTGACACACAATGTTGGTTTGTTCAGGAGTAGGTTTATCAAACTTAAATGGGACATCAGTCCATTAAGTTATTGGTTATTAGAGAGCCCTTTAGGTTATTGCAGACTATCGGGTTTGTGTCGGTGTGATTTTCGTAACTAGTGTATCAGAATTGGTCGCTGTAAAACAGATATGTTTGCTCTTTGTTTTCTCTTAAATCTTCAGTTCAAAAAAATTATCGTGTACTTTTTATTCCACGAATCCATTACTTGTTCTCGAATCATATTGTTTATGTCTAATGTTTTCTACTACTATTGATACTATTATTACTTTTAATACTTTGATATTTATCTTGATCATTCCACATCACTGTGTTGATATAATGCGGCAACTCGAACTTATGTATATATATTTGCCTTCGCAAAAACATTGGTACAGGAAGGCACCAAATATATATATGCGCCGCACAAATCATTTGAAATACTACTCAGGTGCCCAAACCGAAGCAGGTGGTTTTAATAGGGGGCCACTTCCCAAGCCTCAGACCTAGAGGTCTGATCCACAAGGCAGTGGAGCAAAATCAGAAGATACAGTTCCGTAGTAGCCAGTGACTAACAAAAGGTTTATACGCCATTCGTTCCTTCAGGATCCTGGTGCCCATGTGCACCATTGGTTTGGAATAGTGATTTTCTGACTTGTAGTTGGATCCTCCATAAGCGTCGGATACTCACTTGTCGTCCTCTCAATTTTGTAAACAACACCCCAGTCGCGAGAAGGTAGTGAGTAGGTTTTCCCTGGTAGTAGTTGTATTTCGAAGCGAAGTGCACAAATTAGTCACATTGTAACTGAGTTAATAACAATAAAGTAAGTTACGTTTACTTACATTATTCAAATATAAATTGCCATTTTATTATTTTTTTTATCTCTTTCTCTGTATCTATGTGCTGTGCAGAGTTCTGATTCAAACAGTGCTTCGTCATGTACAAGTTCTACACCAGGTTCACCATTTGTCACCGGTACATCATTGCTTAGTACAACGTTAGCTGCATCATGTTGTACTCGTTTAGACAGTGGTTATGTTGGTGTTGGTAGTAATAGTAGTAGTACTACTGGTCAAATGATTTCATTATCTTCTCCTCCATTACGAAATTTAAGCAACAGTGGTGGTTGTATGTTTAATCCTTCTAATCCAAGTCATTTATCTTCGCCAGTTAGTATACATTCTTACGGAACAGTTAATGCTGGAATTGTAACTAATACACAACAACAACAACAACCTCATTCTCCTCGACATTCCGGCCAATGTTTTAATCATTTTGAATTTCCAAGTAAGCGTTTTCGTATAAATTCATATTTAGTATATACATTTATATCGTTATCTGTTCTGCGCTCTGCTTATGTACATATAATTCCTTCTTCTACTCAATAATATGCATTTTTATGTAGACAAGCACTTCATTTACGTCTACCACTTTATTAAATCTCGTTGGAAAATCACTAGTCGCATACCTCATTTTGTGCTGAAACAAATTAAACACAATGATACTTGGTCTACCAGTTTTTTTAATAATCAGTTCCTTGTCTAGTCTTAGATAACTAAGTAGTAACGTGTTCAATTTTCCCCTTATGTCTAATAAAATCGGCTATCTAAACCAACAGGTCGAAGACGCAGTAAAAATATGTGTTAGCAAATACTAAGGAAAGGTGACCGTCAACCCTCCTTGGGAGTGCTTATGCTTATGTATATGTCATGAAGCGCAAGAGTGAAAGTCTTTATACAAGTGGTACACATGTAATATGTAAAAGACATCCAGTTGTAACAAATTCGTTCAAAGAGAGCGGAGACCATCTGCCTTTCACGGGGGGGGGTGAATATACATATGTGTACTCTATGGGATACATAAGTGAAAACCTATATGTTACCGATGTGCATGTGTCGTATACTTGCCCCTAGTTCGGGTCGCGCACTAAGACCCGGGGATGCTGGTTTCCCCACGAAATCACATCCACGTGGTGAGCCTTGAAACAGGGAAACTTTTCAGAAAAGCCAGTAGACCACCAGATAAAGCTTTACGAACCTTGAACGACTGAACACTACATACCATGTTCAATCTTCAGGTAAGAAAGTATTTCTGACTCTTTTAAATAGTTTGATAAGAGTCAGGCACCCAAAAACAACATGTTATTTGGAATGAATTTGTGTCGACTAAGTCGCTACACAATCTCAGCATAGGGAAAAGGGAAGTTAAAATGATATTTAGCGAACTGATTTGGAATAATCATTGTATTAATGAATAGTGCAAAATAATATCGTTCGCCGGTTTTCGGCATTTTTCATCTATCAGTCTGAACTGCACTACACTGTTGCGTTCATAGTTGACGGATTCGAATATCTTCAGATTCTTAAGGTGAAATCTTCAGTAAAAATTACGCTTACATACAGTATATACCTACTAAATTGACGGAAAGGTGGGCGAAAATACTGGATACCACATACTTATTGAACGTCGAACAATAGGTGGATGACCCCATCCCATGTATCCGAGGCAATCTAACCAATTTTTAGGACCGTAATGAGTTGTCTGACCTAGAAGTCTGATCCACAAGACAGTGGAGCAACGCTAGAAGATTATTTTTTTAAAATTAGCTGAAATATACATTAACCAAAATTTCGAATAAATGACTATCGAAAGTAAATAATAGTTTGCTCTAAGATAGAAAATGACATCGTCCATAAAATCGTTGGAAAACGTCATAAGCTACATAAAAATGCCCGTTATGTAAATTTAGGTGTCATTACTGCAAATTTTTTTAAGCGACAGATTTGTTAGTCTGTTATTTACTTTTTGGTTTATAAGATGCATAAAAGTTTCTAGGTTATTAGTAGTGCTTTCCAATTGTGTCGCCAATGTCGTAGACCATTTTTTTAACCTTAGGAATATTCAGTGTAAATATGCTGCAGGGCTCGTCAGTCAGTCAGTCAGCTACAACGTAGGACCAGGCACATATGTGCATCGGTCCAGGTTGCCATACCTCATTAGCACAGCAAGATGAACACCGGATTCATAGGAGGGGTTAGGTCAAAGGTGTTAAAATATAAAAGAAAGATTGCAATATGGATATAGTACAGGAAGAAAGAATTAGTTAGTAGAAAGAAAGATATGAAGTGATTTTAATCTCTTAGTTTAAGGGAAGACAGGGAGTGTATACACCGACGCCATTGTGATCGATTCTGAGCCATGTCACCAAGAGTCTCCAACCATTGGTTACTATAGTCACGTGGACCCCAACCAAGTAGTCTGCATCTACCAACATGGCTCAGACTAGAAGTTAGTGACTTCAAGCACTGATGCCACGTTTTGGTTTGGCCGCCCCTAACTTTCTTCCAACCATCTCCAATACCGGATAGCATTGCACTTCGTGGTAATCGGTGTTCAGGCACACGTAACACGTGGCCCAACCATCTCAGTCGATGAAGATTCATAACCTCATCAACTGACTTACCATTATTCCCTAATACCCTGCGTTTAACCTCACTATTACTTACCCGGTGATCCTGGCAGACGCCAACAATATTTCTGAGGCGTCTGTGGTCAAATACTAGTAGCTTACGAGTGTCTTCTACTCTTAAAAGCCATGTTTCGCTGCCGTAAAGTAAAACAGAACGGACTGCCGTGCAGTATACTCGTCCTTTTATTGACAGACGGATATCTCGTCTTCGCCAAAGGTGACGTAAGCTGGCAAAAGCCAAACGAGCTTTTCGAATCCGTGCTGAGATTTCGTCGGATACCAACCCATTAGGGCTGATCAGACTTCCAAGATAAGTGAAGTTGTCAACGCGTTCGACTACTTCACTCCATATCCTTAGTTCAGGTGTTTACGCAGACCAGTCCTGAAGCAACAACTTGCATTTCGAGGGAGAGAAGAGCATTCCAAACATTCTGGCATTGTTGCTTAGTGCTATCAGAAGACTCTGCATTTTGTCAGCGTCTTCGCCAAACAGGACTATGTCATTTGCTTGTTCTAAGTCGATAAGTGGATCTCCTTTCCTGTTGTGATAAACCCAACGAGCTAAATTGGCCGAAATATGTGTTATTTTAGGTCCTATCATATTAGACAGGTCGGTCGGAGAATGGTAAATCTGAAAGCAGCACCTTGAAGCCCGAGGGCGAAGTTTTACTGTGGGCTGTCGATAGGTGTGCCAGCATTAAAGTATTTCTCTCGACCAACCAATGTCTGCAGCGATGCTGTCTTCTCATCAGAGAGTTAGGGAAGGTGGACCCTTAAAGCCACACCTCACCTTACTCTGGCATTAAGGCTTTTTAAAATGCGGAGCCAACACATAAAAATTCCCATAAACAGGTTTTTAGACCAGTGTCAAGCATTTGTCTCTTGCTCTCTGCGGTCACACGCACAGGTCAATAATGCCACTACTAGTCCATTTTTTTTGTCAGGTCCGCAAAGAAGAAGTATATTTTTCACTGTATGGTCAACCGGGAAGTGACAACCGCTCTCAGAAATGCAACAGCACCCGAGATCACCATGCTACAGGGCTGAGGATTCCAAGCTGGGGCTTGAGTTTTGATAGAGCTTTATGATTTCCCAAATGTATATCCCATCTACCTCCAGCGTGCTTTTGCTAATTTCCTTTTCAGCTAATAGTTGGTTTGTTCTCTGGGACAGTGATTAATTAGCTTCTATAGATTATCAGCTTTAAATATTCTATGGGAAATTGTAAACTACCGAAATCTTGTCCACTGATAATTCATCTTCATTGTTAGATTTTCTAGTGTAGTTGTTGTCGTGGTGTAGGCTACTTATGTCGATAGACACAAAGTAGTATGCAGCACTAATCTGAAGTGGAATGTCTGGCAGCAGAATATTGAAAAGATCGAATTGAAGAGAACAAGGATGTAAACTGTAATTAATTAGAACTGTTCTTTTGTATAGTACCTACTTTTCAGTGGTTGAAATCTTGAGTCAATTGAAGCTAGACCATCATGAAAAACCTGGAAGCACTGGCTGGCCGTTTTGTCCTAGTATGGGACTCCTCAGTAGTGCGCACCCACGACCTCGCCTCCTGCGAGATTCGAACCCAGGACCTACTGGTCTCGCGCACGAGCGCTTAACCATTAGACCACTGAGCCGGCATCCAACAGTGTTAATGTCTAACTTCAACCAATCCACAAAGTTGCGCCACCGTACATTTGGATACATTCAAATGTTTCACGATTAGTGTTTACTTGTATAATTTTTAATCATAACGTGTTTACAATAATGTCATGAATAATATTTGTATTGTATTTCTATTACATTCAAGTTGTCAGTCATCCAATCATAGATAATCAGTTAGTAGACGGGAATTTCAATAATAATGTGAATAATAATAGTCCTTTAATTAGGTAAGTGTTGGGTTACCGCTTCACATTACCAATAGATCGGTTTTATCACATACAATTATTATTTTATATGTCAATCTTCACTCAATAAAAGTTAATGTAGCTTATCTTGAAGCTAATTTGCATCCCTGAAACCAACAGCTTAATATATAAATAATTTAACATAATCTAACCAGAGGTTATGCTCTGTGACATTGTTCATGTATTTGGTAGTTTGACAATATATGTATATCCATTGATAATGGTAAACAGTAATAAGCTTTCACATTACTTAACCCTAACATTCTGCAAGAAGGACAGAAGTATTCTTCACAAAAAAAGAAATAGACGATTACCTATACGCAGCTATTCACCATTCCTTACCTGTTTTACTCACATCAGCTTCAGCTTGTAGGTGTTATTAGTTATACAGTAAATCAAACTATAAGAGATATGTATAAATTGGGTTATAATAGTCATTTGTAACTAAAATGTCATTATTGAATGACTTTATTAGTAATCTAAATCAGTAGACTACTTCTTTTACTGTACTAGTGTTTTCATTGGACCCTGACCCAGTCAGTGGTCGGTAACTGTGAAACATTTGTTTCGAAACCTGAAGGTCTTAATTTCGACCCCTGAGGAATGCTGAAGGGTCCTGTACTAGGATGAAACATCTATCCAATACTTCCTAGTTGCCAATGGTACTTCTTTAGTGAATGCTACTTGCAAGATTATTTGTAAGTATTGTGTAGCGAAATGTGACGTCTAAGTTGCTACATTTGTCAGACTAAGTGAGTTTTAGTCGATCGAAAGTATGGCGTTGGCAGAATACTTGGAGACCAGGCGACAATATATTCCAAATTTCAGAACACACCGAGAGATGTGAATCAAAGATTGAAATCTATGTATAATGTATTATATAAATACTTTATAACTTCTTATAATAAATACATTCTTCCTGTCTATTGTTGTGTTCTACATTTCAACTAATGTCAATCTGTGATGAATACATTCACCCCCCCCCCCGAAAACCTATGATCTATTCATATATGGAATATATACTGTAAATGTTTATAGTTCAAATCAATCGAATTGATGGATGTTATAACCTTAATGTGTTACTTAAATCATCAAACTGTCAATCGTCATATAGCTTATCATGAGTAACGTGTTATCATCAATGATGTGTTTAAATTAATTTCTTTCAATTAGTTATTCACATGATCTGTGAATTAGATTAGATCACATCATTACAAAACAATAAAATCAAATTTGTCCGATCAAACTTATTAAGATTATAATATATATAACTACATGGATTATACAAATGATACCAATCAGTTATTGTTATATCATTGGTAAATATGATTCTTTCTGAATGGTGGTGATGATTGTGATAGCTCAATCATGTCTTATTGATTAAATCGTGTAAGGTTCAACCTGACTGTTTTACTTGGTTTGATTAGGAGAATTTTTGTCGGCTAATACTTGAACCTAGCAACAATTTCTATTTTTAGTATCATTTTTTCATTCATTTCAACACAGATATTGGTACAAAGAGCCTTTGACCTGAAGGTCTGATCCACAAGACAGTGGAGCATCGTAAGGAGATGAAGTCCCATGGAAACTAGTGACCAACAGTCGGTTCATGCGCCATTTGTTTCTTCACAATACTGGAACTCATGTGCACCACTGGTTTGGAATCCGGTAAAAGCGCCGGACATTCGCTTCTCGTCCTCTCATTTTCGTAAACATCACCCGTGGTGCGAGAAAGCAATGAGTTGGACTTTCCTGGCAGAGGCTGTGTACGCGTGGCTGTGTGAGAGCATTTCGAGATGGAGAGCGGACTCTCCCCACTCTCGGCCATATCAGGGCATTTGGAGGCCGTTCTTAGTTGGTGGAGCGATTTGTCTGTTTTTAGTCATCAATTCCTATCAGGCCTAAATAACTAGTTTTACTTTAAATAGTATTTATTTATTTTCTAACCTTTGAAAATTCTTATAAAACTTCTAATTATTTCTTTTATCATCTTTTTGTAGTACTGTGTCGTCTGGAGAAAGTGAACGAACTGTTGTTGACGTAAGTTTTGCTATTATAGGCTACATTTTATCGACCTATTTTCTGTTTATTACCATTTCATACTTTTTTTAATGGTATGTAGAAGAAAAAGAGTAAGCCTCATAATGATACTTACAACTCACGGATATTTATGGGGTATCGGATTGACAACAGATTATGGATGTTAATGATGGTTTGTTGAAGAATTCATTTATACTACCTCAAATAGATTTACCTCTCTGAATTATCGTTTAGTTCTGTATTACTTTTTTGTTATAAACATGATAGGTTCATCTAAAGAGTGCGAATTCCGTTACTTAGCTTATTGTTGAACACCGGTGATACTACTCGGCTATCCAAAATAAAGTAAATGGAGCGAAGTTCGGACGTGCGACTTGGTGACTAAAAGTTAACTATTGAACTAGTATTTGATCTGTCCAGGTTTGAATGGTGGTTTATGATCTCAGTGAAATTTCTTATCATCATTTTCCGCAGATCAGTATTCATTCATCAATTATTCGTTTCACCTAGTTCTCCAAGTTTATTTATATCAGCTTTTTCTTTAATCCATGTATTTTCCATCTTTGCAACACAAAATCCATAGTTAGTTACTTACTTAGGCCTGTTAATCCTAATGGAGCATAGGACGCAGACCAGCACTCTCCAACCCACTCTGCCTGGGCCTTCTTTTCTAGTTCCATCCAATTCTTGTTCGTTTTTCTTATGTCTGTCTCCATTTCTCGGTGTAATGTGATTTTTGGTTTTCCTTTTTTCCTTTGGCCTTGAGGATTCTATGTGAGGGCTTGTCTTGTGACGCATTTGGGTGCTTTCCTAAACGTGTGTCCTATCCGCTTCGGGCGCTTCTTCCCGATTTCTTTCTCCGCTGGAATCTGGTTTGTTCTCTCCCACGTGAATCAACAGTTAATTTCTAAATGAATGTCAAGAATTAGCTTTGGAGATTAAATAATTGACTATGAAAGCCGAGTTCCATAGTCAATTATTTAATTTCCAAACCTAATTCTTGACATTCATTTGGAAATTAACTGTTGATTCACGTTTAATTTCTATTCATTCAATATTTATTTCGAATTATGATATGTTTTTTTCGTTTCTATGTATAGTAATATGTGTGCCAATTATTTTGGAATATCCGCCTACTATCTCTCTCTCTCTCACACACACACTCTATCACTTATAAACACATACACATGTATACATCTTAGTAATTTTAATCTGTTTACTTAATGTTTTGATCTTTCATGTTTACTCAGAATGCAGTACACCGGTTTGAATCAATGGATAGTCAAGATGAATCATCTTTAATGAGAACGAATAGTGTAAGTTTAATTATGTTTTGGTAAATGTAAATGATAAAAAAGTGTCTATTATTACAATTGATTGATCACTGGGTGGTGATCAATGTCTTGCTTGTCTAGTCCTTATTAGTGCAGATCGAGTGCTATCGATCATGTTGCAATGTGGCCACCAGTCTAGGTGACTCGATAGCACTCGATCTGCACTAATAAGGACTAGACAAGCAAGACATTGATCACCACCCAGTGATCAATCAATTGTAATTACATCTCAGTCCTACAGGAGGTTAGTCACGGCTCGGATAGCTCAGTGGTAACGTCTCTGACTGTGAAGCTGGGTGACACGAGATCGAATCGGCTAGGGAGCACCAGTTCCCTCAAGATTACAGGTACACCTTGCTGACGAGTGCCAAGTAGCACGAAACCCGGGTGCAGGGATTCCTGTTGACTACCTCCAACCACCATCTAAGTGTCTATTATTATCATTTAATAAAAGAATGATAGTTCAGTGAAGAATATTTGCTTTTCTATGGTGAGATTTGGTAATGCTATACAATCGTGTTTGTACTTATACATCATAGTCTATGATTGTGTCATTAATATCAATATATTAAGAGTTGGTTGGAAAATTCAAATGGTCTAATGATTAAGCGCTTATTACGAGATATGAAGGTCTTGGTTTAAATGCTCCTGTAAGGTCGGGAATGCACGCTACTGAGAGAGATTTCATACTCGAATGAAACAATGTCCGATGTTTCCTAGTTTTTAATGGTTGTCTAATTTAGGCTGGTTCATGGTCTCAATAATATAGAAGAGAGATATATGAAAGATAATTATCCGTTTTTGACGAATCTAAGAAAGAGAAGGGATGAACGTGTTTTAAAAATAATTAACAAAATTAACAGGGAGTGTTGAAACGATGTCAAATAAAAGATTAGACATACATCCCTGTATATGGAGACTACACCTGACTCAATGAAATGTCGAAGCCTACTTTAAGCACAAATTTTACATCCCGCTTCACTCGGAAATAGGCTCGCTTGACTTTGTAAATAATTTTAAATGAAGATTCTTTTAAAAGCAATTAGGTGCAATTGTTCCGTTATAGACTTTATTTCTATTATTATTCTAACACATAGATATTGATACAAGGAGCATCAAATACATATGCGCCACACAGATCTCATTTGATATGTGTGAGGGCTATGATACTGCCTGGGTGCCCAGACCGAAACAGGTGGTTTTCTTAGGGGGACACACCTGAAGGTCTGATCCGCGAGTCAGTGGAGCATCTTAAGGAGATGCAGTCCCATGGAAGCCCGTGACCAATAATTGGTTCATACGCCATCTGTTCCCTCAGGATACTGGAGCCCATGTGCATAATTGGTTTGGAATCAGGGTTTTCCAACTCCCCTAGGTGGACTCTTCATGTCCACCAACCCGGTTAAAGCTCCGAACATTCGCTTTTCGTCCTCTCAATTTCGCAAACAACACATTGGACGCGAGAAGGCACTTATGGACTCATGTTCGTTTCATCTACACAATGTCAATTCCATAATGTTTGTTTTGAATTCAACAAAAAAAATATTTGAGATAACACAATAGATGATCACTTAATTTGATCTTTTGTGGGTAAACATTTACACTGTCGCGTCTAACAATAACATGCTCATCATTTCTAATTTAGAATTTACACAACCATTGACGTTTGTTTGCAGATCTTACAAGCAAGGTCACTAATTTAATACATCGGAATGGGAAGATATCTATCTATTATGAGAACGTAAGTTGAACAATCGAATGGAAATAAACTTTTGTTTCACGTACTATAGATTATTCTACTCTTTTCTGCATAGCAATACGCTTGAATATATCAAGATACATTTAACACGATAGAAAGAGATCAACGTTTTGAAATGTGCAAACAGAGTGAATGACACTTTCATAGTTTCTTAAATGACACACACTTTATTCACCTACATCCTAAGAAAGTAAATAATTAGAAGTGAATTACCATCAAACTAAACGATGATGTATTTGAGGCAAATAGGGAACCATTCGGAAACAGTCATTTTCTGTCAAACTCTATTACGTCTTCTGAATATAAGATGTTCGGAAATTACACTGTTGAATATTATTAGTGCCTTTGTGTTTAAACTGTTGATTAGTTCATAGCGTTTGATATTTTCAAAACTTCTTATCAGATTCCTACGGAAATCAAAAACAGGCAGCTGCACACAAAGATTAAAATTGCAATGAGTTGTGATCGTAAATCTAAATGTAAGAAATTTTGCTAGTATTTTGATGTACATTATTCTTTGTAAACACAGTTCAGTTTATGTTATTTTAGTTTGCATTTATACTCAGTTATGAACATGTCAACAGCGTGACTTTTTTGTTTTCGCTCAAAATGATCTTATAAAAATGTTTACAATGATTCGAAAGTAAGACAAATTGATCGAAGTGCTACTGAAATGTTAGACATGGCCGTACAAATCGAGATCGAAATGCTTTTCGTAAACACTCTGTCCATACATTACTGTATACTGAATATCCAATGTCAATTATATGTTTACACTTCTGGAACGGACATTTTGTTGTTATAGTTGATGAGGAATCATGGTGAAAATTAATCATGAAAATGTCGAACAATATTTCTATGCATTTGACTGTATTGAGATCAAATTACCTTTGCCTTCAACCCAACAACCGTCATATATGTTACCGTTGTGAAATGGTTTTGAGTTGTTTTGGTGAATTTGCAATATTGTAGTTTCAATTGTCTATGATAAATTGCATCGAAAAGGAATCTGAAGATGCGTAATTTGATTATCAAATTACTACATATGCACTCGTGTATTCACTCACTCACTCACCCACTGAACGACGAGCGTGTAACGAGTTAAACACATGTTTTGAAGATGTTTTGCTGATACTATTGCAAACTAAATCTGTAATTTAACGACATCATTTTTCGATTACTGGTTGAACACCGGTCATATTTGAAACCAGTATTTTTGTAAAGTATATTTTGTTAGGATGCTGCTCCAGCGTATCTGTATCCGTAATCAGAAAAATTCATTTTTTTCATTTGTCTTTCATGAAATCCTGTAGATGAATAGTTGTTAATTTAAAGGTTAATCAAATGTGTCTTTTTTATACAATTAGTTATGAAATCACCCGAGTTAAGTGTTACCAGTATATGGATCAAAAGTGACACGCTGGTGGAGTTTGAACCAATCGAGAGTATGTTAAACCTTGTTTATTCATCACTTACTATTTTTAAACTTGAATAGATGACATCGTTTTCATCGAATTAGAAATGCGATGTGTCATTTTAATTGGCTATTTGATGATATCCTGTCATGTTTCTCAGTGACGTTGCACTTACCATTAATAATTACACATCGATTTACTGTTGATTGTTGAAGATAACTAAGGAACCATTTGGAACTACTACAGGTGTATTCACTTCGATGAAATTTACTGTGAAACGTCGCCACAGGATGATGGATAGGATGATATAGGTCTCGAAAATGTTTATCATCAGCTAGTACATTGCGTGCTGACGAGAATGTATTCATTGTTTTTGCAATATCGAATTTTTTTGAGATATTGAAATCGCGAATGCTGAGAATTCTATGTTGCACCAAAAATATAATGTTGAATAAAGCTTCTTATAATAATAAGAATAATTATTATAATTATAATTATATTAAAAATAGTTGACACAGTTGCTGAGATCACCTTCCTTTGGTATTTTGACCAGAAGTCCTTCTTTCCAGTCTGTTGGTACTTGTTTCTTATCCCAAATCTTTTTGAAGAGAATGTGAAATATCCTTGCAGTTGCCGCTACGTCTCCTTTCAGTGCCTCTGCTGGAATGTTGTCTGGCCCTGCTGCTTTGCCACTCTTGATTTGTCTGATGGCAATGCTGATTTCTTCAGTTGTTTGTGAGTCGACATTGATTGGTAGGTCCGTCGGTGCTGCATCGATATTGGGTGAGTTCAGTGGGGCTGGTCGATTCAAGAGTTCTTTGAATTTTTCTACCCACCTGTTTCGTCCAAGTTTTGCTCGTTCTAGTTATTGAAGTACGGACTATCGATCTACTTGCAAATTACGAACCCAAATCGATAATAGAAGCGTTTCGAATACTGAGAGAATCATTCCACAATCAATTGTGCAGATCACCTTCAGCATTTATCGAATAAAATGTCACAAATTGTCAAAATATTTTTAATAATCGAACATGTCTGACACTAAACATGTGTGACGAGAGTGTCCTAGTGAAAGTAGAAGCAGACGCTTTACTCAGAAAGCACCATATTGGGACGGAGTTTAGGTTACACATTTTGTTATTCACTTATTTCTTGTTTGATAATTTGAAATGCAGTCACCCTATTTTTTCCGTAGGGAAGTGTTCAATTCACAATTCGACTGGGGAATGCCGAAATGCGACAACATCAAATATGAGATGTATTTGGTGTGAAAGAGCTAATATGTGCCTTAATAGCAATGATAAGGATACTCATGAATTGAAAGTGGACGATTGCCTTATTAAAGTAAGTAATTGTTAAACTTCATAGGTTGCCCTAAATGTTGCTATATTTCACATTGCAATTCCTCTAACTCAAAAGATCATTTTGTTACTTCAAATACGTACTGATTCGTTTATGAATATGTTGGGATATTCAGGAAAATATCCCAGAAGTTATCCTATTTAGCCTAATGTTATTCTTGGACTTGGACATGGTATTATTTTCTTATTGGTCAGTACTCATTTCACGTGTCATTTTCCTACTGGCCAATATTGTACAATGTTATTTCTATTTTATGGTATGATGTGGTTTGTTTGACTGGTATATAAACAAAGTATGTTTGAAATATAATGATTCATATATCCGAGGCTGTGACTTGCGTTCTGGACTCAACTGCTGGGCTAGATAGGGAAGCGGGGCCAATCAGAACCCTAGGTCGTTCTACGTGTCTGTGCGTCTTTGGTCCGATCGATAAATCGCTCCCCTCAATTCTGCTGCTACTGTCTCACAGTTATAACAATTGGCGACGGGGTGAAGAAAAAAAATACAATCCAAAGTCATTCTGTAATTGGACGAAATACAGTCTAATTATTCAACCAATCAGCATCCAGATTGTCGTCACTGTCCTTGAACGACATTGGTCATTATTCACACAGTAATTTTCATCACAGGTGCTGATTCGAAAAAAATGACTCTCCCTTCCGATCGATTACAGCTGCTCTTTGAACGACATTTGGAGTTATTAGTCAAATTCCGCACGCAGCTGCTAAATCAGTCACGCTATGAAGATGCGACGGAAGTGGACGGATTGATATCTGAGTTTCACAGTGAGCTGGAAAATGACAGCCTCCATGAATCCTCGATGAACTGTACTTCAAACGAAACAGTCGTCCATGATGCGCCCGGTGGTCCAGTACTTTCTATTCCAGAAACATGCCCGGTAATGGAGTCAAACTCCATCATCCCCGAAACAGCATGTACAGACAGTAGCATATCCAGCTCACGAAAAGATCCTCTTGTTTTGCCAGAGAATGTGTCACATGCATCAAACAATGGTCAGAAATCTAATACAATTTTGATAGATGCTGTTTATTTTGGTAACGTATTATCCACTAATGGAATTTCGAAGAGATCTGATGGGAATGTTTCACAAGAATCAAACTCTTATGACCTCATATCTACTGTCGCTGATCCTCAGCATCTAGTCAGCTCTAGTGGACTCTCTACTCAATGCGGGAAATATGCTTTAAATAGAGTCACACTAACTGTTACTTGGGTATACGAGGACCCAACATTATTCCGCGGGGGAGGATAGACGCGAAGAAATCCAAAATCCGGATCTCCAAAAAAGGGGAGGTGTTGGGATATTCAGGAAAATATCCCAGAAGTTATCCTATTTAGCCTAATGTTATTCTTGGACTTGGACATGGTATTATTTTCTTATTGGTCAGTACTCATTTCACGTGTCATTTTCCTACTGGCCAATATTGTACAATGTTATTTCTATTTTATGGTATGATGTGGTTTGTTTGACTGGTATATAAACAAAGTATGTTTGAAATATAATGATTCATATATCCGAGGCTGTGACTTGCGTTCTGGACTCAACTGCTGGGCTAGATAGGGAAGCGGGGCCAATCAGAACCCTAGGTCGTTCTACGTGTCTGTGCGTCTTTGGTCCGATCGATAAATCGCTCCCCTCAATTCTGCTGCTACTGTCTCACAGTTATAACAGAATAAAAACGTTGTTTAGCATTAATGCTTGGAGTCATATTAATTTATCAACCAGGTGATTTCAGAAATCAAATATGACACCGTATATCTATGTTGTGATCAAAACTGAAAATAACGTAAAACGAATGATGAATTATTTGAATAACACACTATGTTGAGTAATAATGTTACCGTTTTGTTTTTCTTCAGAACACGACCGTAAACACACACGTGTCCGAACACAATAAACACAATAACACACTTTATTACCTGTATATTGTGATACCAATTGTCGTCTCAGTCTGCGTTGTGTGCGTTGGATGCTTTATTGGTCGGTGTTTGTATAAGAGAAAGAATAGTAATTCATGATTCTCAAAAACTTCATATCACTTGTTTTTAATAATTTGACCGAGTTGTTTTCACTTCGTAATTCATCCAATAACTTCACATTTTGTTGTCCGTTCCCATTTGCTGGACGCATTTCTTTATGCAACTTTGAATCAGTTTTATGGTTGTTAACATGATAACTGATGTAATTTTGTTGATAAAATAATGATAGTCGTTTTTAACATTTACGTGATTGTTTTAATTCAATAAAAATCAATAATATGACAAAAGTTTTACGGCGTTTGATATGTGAATTGGCAGTATTCTGTTTACGAAGCTTAGTGATAATTGCAATCAACAATTGTTCCGTTGCGAATGTCTATTTCGATGAGGTCTTACTTCTAAAACATACCACTTGAAGTTTACGATGGTCGTTGTTTTAAATTGAGCTGTCAAAATATTGTATCGGTATTAAATTGGACACTTCCATCCTTCGTTACATGAGTAGGCACTAACTGGTTAGTGCTGGATGACAAACTATAGTTAGTTAGATAATATGACGATTGAATGTGAAATATGTCTAAAGAGTTGGGTATATACTCAAGTAAGGATGAGAAAAAGCATAGACTGCTCAACCTAGTAACAGTTTTATCGTAGAACCATTGAGTAGGATAATAGTGCTGAAGGACAATCACTACAATATTTCTACCACTTGATGAGCACTTTGTTGTACACTATATATTTAGTAGTTATTCTCACCCACATGTAGTTGTGAAAAAGGATGTTGCGAAAATTTATTCGTACTGTTTGTTTGAACGTTTGCGTTGATGTTAAAGACTGCAATTGATCGGTTACTTTACGGTGTGTTTTAGTCGTGTTTGAATTGCCTCGAAAATCCCATTACGTCACGAGTAATCAAAACAGAGATGGATGATATCTAACAGTGGAACGCCAGAAACCTGTTACTTTTTCGTAACTGAGACTCGTTAACTGGATGTGCCTGAGTCACAGAGTCGATGTTCACTCCAGACTCTATCACGTCATCTGTTTAGTTACTCAGTTAAGATACACACCAGCTTCACAAACAGTTTCAGTGAAGCACATAAAGGTGTGCAAAGATTTCGGAAATGTTTTTCATGTGGTAAACTGCATTAACAAAAATCATGCCCGTTTGTCATGCCGACTATTCAACTCGTAACAGACATCAACATAGTAATTTAGTATTCAAAAGCAATGTTCATTTTGCATCTTGTCATACTAAATCACTTAATTTTAATCCCAATAAAAGTGAGGTTATTGATGATCATATTTTATTTTAGTGTTCGAAATGTTTGTTTCCCGAGTATAAGCGACCACATACCTACTCTGGTTTATTCCATGATTTTATTGTTGGCACTAGCGATATACTGCTCATTATTTCAGTCGTTGTTAAGTCAGTAAAAAGTCCTAATCTGGATATATCTTTGACAGGTTTAAATAAGACCACATTGCTCTAATTAAAGATTCGAAAGCTGTGTGCTTTTAGTGATTTGAAGATAGGGCCTCAGAATTTCACACTGAACTTTCGGTTTTTCTTGTCGTATCAACTTTTTACTTGGCATTTTTTCATTCAATTACTTAATGTGATATGCAGGAATAACGTCTTGCCTTGGATATTCATTAAAAACTTCTCTGAAGTGATGGTGTAATTTAAACATAATCTGCTTAAACAGAAGATGTAATTACAACCTAGAGAATCGGATTAGTTTTGAGAAATTATTCAAAACGTTACTACACATCAGGTGTTATCAAAACAGATTTAAACGCCAATGTGAAATGTAGATATCCGGAATATTATTTTTGACGATCTCTATATCAGATATTTCGGGTATGGCACACGTTTTGATGGCTGAATGTACAATCGTATATATATTACAGAGCTAACGACTGCGATAGATATGATGGGACAAAAAGTTATCGTTCAAAATTGGCTCAATGACAGGTGTCATCTCAGTCCCGGGAGAGAATCAAACCGGTGTGCTTATCAGTACTTTAAAATTGTTACTAATCAGCATTTTGACATCTGTTATTTGTGATCATCACAGATGAGCACTCACTGTGGATTTGGACAGAATAGTAGTGGATAGAGTGTTACTAACACATAGGTGGCTGATATATTTGTGTATGGAATAGTGCACAGTTCTCGTCAAGCATTCGTATTATCCAATTGACAAATGTACTTCGAATTCCGTTGACCTGTAAATAAGTTAATCTTATCCAACCAGTTATCAAAGTTATATTGAAGTCGTGTTTACTTTCAAATTACCGCTTAGACTAAAACGATTGCCACTAACAAACGTGATTATAAATGAATAGGCATAAGAGAAATGGTTATTTGCAGAAGCTAATTAATCATGTAAGGTCTTGTTAAATCACGAGTACTCGAGTATTTGAGGTTCATTTTGACCTATCAATTTTAATGATTTCCAGTCCGTGAACGACAGCTCGTCGAAGCACTAGTAAGAATAAGGATTGGAGTTCGAAAAGAACGACAGTACTTCGGCAAGTATTTGGTACTGAAAACAGTGTGAAAATTGTTATTGAGGCTTCATTACACCAAAATAAGCTCATTCATACTAGATCCTACCCTTTTTATCGTCTAAAAGTATTTAGTTCAAAGGAATGCTTCAACATTATGACAACCTGCTATCGGAGTATGCTCGTCTCCGTTTTGTAGATAATTAATAAATTGCTTAAGCATGCCTATATCTTATTTTTGCAATGATGTAATGATTAGGTCCTGTCGAGTGCAATTAATTTCATAAAATATCAAATATGAGACATATGTTCTGTTATCAGAGTGTTACTTATAGTTATATACGAAACGAAAATTGAATATAACAGCATTAGGTCTCTTCGGTGAGACTCTAAATTATGGACGACTTTTGAACGAATCTTAAGTGACTTTGAGAAATATTATACAATCGGCAAACAGTCGGTATGGA